CATGGATTCAACACTGATGTTTGGACATCTCACACGCTGGCATGGTCGATCTCAGCTTAACATTTCGTCGGCAGGTCTCCTTTCTCCTCAGGCACTCACGTAGACATTCGTACATTCAATCGCTCGTCCTCTCGCTCCAACAGGTCGACACAAAACTAAACTTGACCAGAGTCAAGTCTGACTTATACCACGGGTTCCTTTCACGTGACAACACGTGGTGGTCCTTTACTTTTCCCGTGGCGACCTTGGGTCGCATCACCGTGGTCCCCGTGATAACTAGTGGTTAGTCACCTATCTCCAGATTCTCGTTTAATCCAAGTATTTGGACTATCACAGTGTTTTTGGTCAGCTTTGGGCTTTCCCCCCAACCATCCTAAACTGAGTGGAAAATATCCCCCATTACAGCAACCAAACTGCGCACTTATCGTTTTGGCTTTGTTTTGCATTGGACAAGATGGCAGACAATGAGACACAGCCACATAAAAGTGATTGCCTGAAAAATTTCACTGTAAATCTAAAAAGCCGGTTCTCCTTGCACCTTTGGACGCAAGCTGGACGGCTTAGGTTGGCTTAGTGGGAGTTCTCTCCCTTGGCTGCACTAAAAACAACGAGCGGAAAAGTCACGAATCAAATGACATACTTACCTATCAACATCGGGGTGTAGGGTTGTGTAGTCATCATACGGTTGCGTCTAGGGTTACCTATCATCATACGGTTGCGTGTAGGGCTGCGTAGGGTGTCTATCATCATCATACGGTTGCGTGTAGGGTTGCGTAGGGTGTGGGTTGGGGTTAGGGTTATGGGTAGGGTTAGGATTAGGGGTAGGTTTAGGGGGTAGGGTTAGATGTGAAAATGGTGACGTAGAACTTCCAAAAACTGGGCGACAATCTGATGCTTGTGTGAGTGGTGCCACTGGAAGTGTGCCAAATATGACGGCAATAGCGCGCGGCTGGTGCCCAATCGGTGGCGAATTGTCCGTGTCAGTAGCATCCACCGTTCTTTCTCGCTGTGCCACCATTTCAACAGGCTGCGACTTATCTGCGATTCTCCTTGCGGGTGAGACATAATCAATAATGCGCGTTTAAATGTACGCGCATGTTGCCTCGGGACAACTTCAAACCAGCAGCCGCCACTATCGACGCAAGAAGTAGCTCATGACTGTTTTCCTGCGACTATAGTGCCACCTCCGAGAGTATCCCCCGCGCCGCTACGCGCAGCGTGGAAGAGGCTAAACTAGATGGCTAGGACTCACGAGCAAATACAATGGAGGAAGCTGCAGGAGAAGCGGTACCTGCTGCTGCTCGTGAGTAATAGCCATCTAGTTTAGCCCCTCGGAGGTGGCACTATAGTCGGCGAAAAGTGGTCCGCAACTTACATATAACTGTAGCCCTGCCGTAGGATAGCGCTATCGGGAGTATTCTTGCGTGTCGCTAATTTTTCGTCCGTAGTTAATCCTAGTTTTGCCGCTGTTTAATCGTCGTAAAAAAGTCTGTTGCGTTTTGCAAAAATGTCGTGCGCAATTAATCCTACTTTTGACACGGTTGAATCGCCGCAAAAGAAATGCAAATTTTAGATATGAGTGAGGCTCTGTTTGGGTTTACTTTCTGCATAGATCATTTGGGACCGTTATTTAAAGGAGAGCCTATATTTTTAAAGAGAAATGAATGTACATTCTGAATATGATGATAAATATATGTTAAACTCTTTGAGTCCCAGGGGGTTTTAGCATCACAGGCCCAGGGAGTAGTAAAGAAAGTAATAAAATCAGCGCATCATGCGTTCATTGGGCTTCTAGGTAGGAACCTATGAACGTATGATGTTTTCCTTGTGACTCAAAGAGTTAATATTGTTATAATTAGTAGGAAAGAAGAATTCAGCAGGTGTTCATTTCACAATATAATTTTACCCAAAAAATTCTTCACTTACCATCGTTTTGCAGCCACAAGAGCGGTGAATTTATAAATTTGAGAATAATACTTTAAAGTTTGTTTAATTTCCTAACAAATTCCCAGGTAGTGATAAGTTTCTGGGTTAGTTTAGCACTCAAAGGGCTCTTAGTTCTCATAGAGTGCTGAACAAAATGTAAGATAATAAAATTGGCAGAAAATTAGGCCATTACACACGCACTATGTTCCCAAACAGCTGATCGCTCAGCTGCCGCTGGTGTAAATTCACCGTCCGAATCACTTTAAGAAAAATCAAAATTTTCATTATCATCATCAGAACTATAAACAGTTTCTGAGTTTTGGTGGCAGAAAGAGGCATTTTACGGCCGGTACTTGTGGTTGAAACGTTTGTATGCATGGCACTTAAAAACCTAGAAAAGGCACTGTTCAACGTTAGGTATCTATGAATCTGATCAGTCTGCCCACATGTCTTGGAATACAGAATGTTATTCACAGGAAAACATTAGAGTAACCTTACCTGAATACTTTAATGGTAGTTCTGAACATAAGAAACAAATACGGAGCTATGGGTGAAGCAATATGTACGGGACACACTATTGACGCTAACAGTGTTGTTTTGGCAAAACGGAACTTCTCAGTAACAACGTTACTCAGGCTTTAAAAAGTTATGGCACTCCAGTTCTTTCTTCTACAGAAGGTCCAACCCCATCGTCCCTACTGCAGTTCTTCTGTGCCTCGCTGAACTGTTACTGACCCTTAACTTGTTTTAGTTAAATTCTGAGTATTTTTACCAGATTAGTAGTGTTGCGATGGGCACCAAGATTGGTCCCAATTATGCATGCCTTTTTATGGGCCACCTTATATATGAGTTTGGTTTATAGTGGAGATACATAGATGTTGGCGTTGTTATTACCAAAATGCCTGTGGTTGAGCTTGACCAGTACATCAACTACAACAACAATTTTGATCCGGCTATCAAATTCACCTCACTGATCTCCACCACTTCCGTAAACTTTCTTGACATCACGGTCATTATCGATTTCTCATGTTTGAAGACTACAGCCTACTACAAACCTATGGATTCTCACAGCTATCTCCTCTATACATCGTGTCACCCACTGCCTTGTAAAAATTCTGTTCTGTACTCACAGTTCCTCTGACTGCACAGGTTGTGCTTTGATGATTCTTATTTGATAAATCAGTTGAACTTCTTGATTTCTTCCATATCTGGAACACCTCCTACATGAGGCTCTGAACAATGTATTAACCAACAACTGGAGAGATGCTTTCTCCACCAAACATAGTTCCATCAGTAATGGATCCAGATTGATTTAGACATTTCATCCTAACAATGTGGTTGCTTCCAAAATATTCTGTTGCCATTTGGACATCCTCTGCTTTGATCTAGACACCAAGGTGATCTTCAGTGGGAAGCCAAGATTAAGTTTATAGATAAAATCGCAACCTTAAAGACATACTTGTCAGGAGCCGACTCCTGTCAATCCACACAGCACTTCCTTTTGGGACTTCTGAATGCTCCCGCACCACGTGCAAGACATTTCTCCCTCCGTTGTCCAGACCTCCCCGATTAATTTCCCTAATGGTTCTTTCCAAATTAGGGAACCTTTTACTTGTGGATCCCGCAACGTCATTTATATCATAATCTGCAAAATGTGCAACAAGGCATACATTGGGGAAACTGGCAGGAAGTTAGCTGATCGTTTCCGGGAACACCTCTGAAATTGACAAGAAGACACTTAAACCTATCTTTCTCTATTTTAACAGCTCTGACCCAGAGGCAGAGATTATATATCTTTCACTGCATCAAAATCTTGCTCTAGCGATCATACCACACGCCTCGCTTTGGAAAATTGCCTCATCTGCAGCCTAAGTGTTCTGACTGACTTTTTACCCCACCAGGAATCACACAAGCGATAAACACCTGATGCCGCAAAGTGCCACCATGTGGATGATATTTATGGCCTGCCTATATTGCGGCCCCTGGCACAAACCAGGGTGGGGCTTCACATAACAAAAAATTTCGCCCTAAAAAGGACGAAACACCTATTGCTAGGTGATAAAATATGCATACACTGATGCGCTTTACGTTGTAGCCTAAGTGTTCTTAGTCCAGAAGGTATCAATGTCCATCTAAAGTTTTACTATTATCACATTAAAAATTATATTTACTTTTATGCATATTTTTAAAAAATTTAATTTTATATTATCACTTTATTCTATCTCTTTCCAATACCATTTATGGATCATTATCATTTAAATTCCTACTCTTTTATTCCTACTATTATATTATATATTAACAATATTACATTTTATTTGTTGCAACTATTTTTCTAGCCTTTGTTTATTTTATTTCATTCCTTCGGCACCACATTTTTTTAAAAAGTTGCTCTTATGACTGCTTAGTGGATGGAATACTCTCCTCTTTGTTACCATTGTGTAGTTCATTTCATGTCGAGAAAGGCCCAATGAATGATGCAGTTTATGAAATGAACCTAAGATCCTCAGAGTGCATGGCAAACAGCTTTACTGTTAATCCATCAGAGATCTTACAGTGTCAGCTGTTAATGATTTAAATATAAAGCTTTTATTCTATTCATCATAAGTATGAAGCTGGGACTGTGTTATTTGGAATGTTCCATTGAATGTTGTGTATCGCTATTTTTGGTTGTTGTTTTGATTTTAAATGTATTCTATATTTGTTGTTGTGTAGCAACTATCAAGTGCCCAGTCAGTGGATCAGTTATTGTTGACCATGTTACAGGGATCTATAAGACAAGAGAACTTGTGCGTATCCTGGGAGGTGACTCACCAGAATTGGCATGCATGGGCTACCTAAAAACCATGAGAGAAATTACAAATGGTTTAAGTAAGTTGGTTCAGGGCATGTGCTCCACCATTAGGACGATGAAGAATCTGCTATTTTAACCTCCCTATATTTGCCTGATAATGCTGCCGAAATGTTCCTAGCATATTCACAGCTAATTATCTGTATTAATTTATTCTACATTCTCAGTTATCCAACAGAAAGCTAACTTTGGGCAGTAATTGTGCATTGTAACCTGGTCCTGAAGAATGGAACCAAGTGGCCCAGTGGCTCTGTCACCTCTGGGTGGGAGTGATGATCTTGTAGCCAGTAATAGACCAATAGATGGTCAGTTAGCAGGTTCAGCTGGGGCGGATGTCAGTGGATCCAGCCATGGGAGGATTGGGGCAGGCACTATCAGCTGTTCTACTTTGGTCAGCAGCATGTCCTTAAATGACAACAAGGCTGGCATGGAAGGTCTGGACAAAGAGAGAATCAACAAGATCATTTATGAAGCATCAAAAGGTATGTCAGTTTGACTCTTTGTTTTCACATTTCTTTTTCTTACCTTTTTTTATTATTTTTTAAATAACAGTTTTCCTGGCCAAGGATGTTTAAAAAACAAACAAACAGAAAGTGTGGTCTTGTACCAGCAAGCATGCACGCACGCACACACACACACCCACCCACCACACCACACCACATACACACACACACACAAGAGAGAGAGAACGAACGAACAAACAAACTTTATTTTCAAATGGTCACAAATTGGGCACTCAGGCCCGTCTTACATTCGGCCCTTCCAAACACCTGTCTTCACACTGCAGCTGTATTTTATCAATAAGCATGTAATATTCATATGATAATATGCATATTATGAATATCCCCCCCAAAAAAGCACAAAAGCATGGGTGGTAAAATGCATGCACACACTAGCGCATGCACACACACACACACACTCATTCAAACACACCCACATACCTTCACACACACATAAACACATCCCCATTCACCCACATACATACCTACATACCAACACAGACAGGCACATTGCACACATATACAAACATACAGATATACACATGCACTCACAGACACACCCATAGAAACAAATGCAGACACACACACAAAAAGAGACATGCATACAGACACAATCACACACGAAGATACACACACACACAGACACACGCACACACAAACCGGCATACACACACATAGACTCACACAGGCAGAGAGAGAGAGAAATGTGTGTGAGTGTCTGGGTACGTTTATGTGTTGGTGTGTTCATCCCTATGTGTAAGATCTCATAGACCTGTGTATGGAATGAATGCAAACATTCATAATTCCATATCTAAATGTTTAACAGATTACCAGGTATCTAAATGTTTACCTAAGCACACGTTACACATACACAGGCACACACCAGAACATTGTGGTTTCCTATCAGGGACAGTGTTAGATGGTGCTCAATTCAGATGTGTACATGTGAAGAAGTCTTGTTGTCTCTCAGGATCCAAGTTCTATGAGAATGAGAGAAGAAAGGAAGCAACGCTGAACTTGAGGATCCAGCAACAACAGTCTTTAGCTGCCAGTATCACTGCTGCTCAGCTACAGTTCGGATTTCGTCAGGTAAACTTGCAGAGTCTAGATGACATCTACTGGTGCTTGTAGTTGCCTTCTGGATCTTTTGGGGGATCATTGATTATGGGCAGTGGATGTGTGACTTTCTTGTTGTGTTATACAATCTTCCCGACTCACTGCTATGATGAATTCTTATTTCTCTGGCTATGTTCTCTGGGGTTATTTGTGGCCTAATTGAAATGACCATTGCAGATGATGTGACTGCAGTTATCTGTCAGTTACTGCAGTTATCTGTCAGTGCCTTGGTGTTAGAAGTAATTACTCACCAAGTTCATGATCACAGTTTCCCGGCCCTACCAGAGATGATCATCTATTAGTTGACGTTAGATCTCATCTCAGCAATTCTCAACAAATGTTGTTTCACTTCATTAGGCTCTCTAACTCATTAATCACTGGAATGAGCTCTCTTGTGAACTTGCTGAAGCAGAACAGACTTATTAGCTTCCCATTGTAAATCCTCCATTGATCCCTGACTGTTGTTGTTAGAAAGATGTATTGTTGGCAGTGTATTTGATTCAGTTAATGACCCTGTAAGGCAACAGCTGGCTATTGTTGATTCCTTGTCATCAGGCAGCATCTCGGATGTCAACATTGAGTCTCTGACAGCCTCTCTCCTGCACCCCTGTAGAGCATTCATTGAAGCTTTTCTAATCCATCTCTTGATGTTGTCCACCAATTCTTGTGGTTTTCTTGTTGGATTCTTTGTCTCTGTTGTTCCCTCCTGCATATCTGGTGGTTTCTTTTTTAAGTTGCCATTTACCAAATTACATGTGTTGTGTTAAGGTTTCTGACAAATGCTGGTCTATGGGAACTCCTCTTCAGAACTCTGAACAGAAATCCTTCTGTTTCTGCCTCAAAATGGATCATAAGTCCTCATCCAGCTCAGACCAAGGCTTTTGTACCCTTGTTCACGGTTGGTTGTATTTAGCAGCTCAGACCAAGACTTATGTACCCTTGTTCACGGTTAGTTGTATTTAGCAGCTCAAGTTATTTTTGGGATGAGGTGGTCATGGCAACCCTCCATGTTTAGCTCTTACAGCATGCAAGGCATGTGCACTAGTAACACACACAGGGGTTTGGTGGGATGAGGTGATCATGGCGACCCTCCATGTTTAGCTCTTACAGCATGCAGGGTGTGTGCACTAGTAACACACACAGGGGTTTGGTGGGATGAGGTGATCATGGCGACCCTCCATGTTTAGCTCTTACAGCATGCAGGGCATGTGCCCTAGTAACACACACACGGGTTTGGTGGGATGAGGTGATCATGGCGACCCTCCATGTTTAGCTCTTACAGCATGCAGGGTGTGTGCACTAGTAACACACACACGGGTTTGGTGGGATGAGGTGATCATGGCGACCCTCCATGTTTAGCTTTTACAGCATGCAGGGCATGTGCACTAGTAACACACACACGGGTTTGGTGGGATGAGGTGATCATGGCGACCCTCCATGTTTAGCTCTTACAGCATGCAGGGCATATGCCCTAGTAACACACACAGGGGTTTGGTGGGATGAGGTGATCATGGCGACCCTCCATGTTTAGCTCTTACAGCATGCAGGGCATATGCCCTAGTAACACACACAGGGGTTTGGTGGGATGAGGTGATCATGGTGACCCTCCATGTTTAGCTCTTACAGCATGCAGGGCATATGCCCTAGTAACACACACAGGGGTTTGGTGGGATGAGGTGATCATGGCGACCCTCCATGTTTAGCTCTTACAGCATGCAGGGCATGTGCACTAGTAACACACACACAGGTTTGGTGGGATGAGGTGATCATGGCAACCCTCTATGTTTAGCTCTTACAGCATGCAGGATGTGTGCACTAGTAACACACACAGGGGTTTGGTGGGATGAGGTGATCATGGCGACCCTCCATGTTTAGCTCTTACAGCATGCAGGGCATGTGCACTAGTAACACACACACGGGTTTGGTGGGATGAGGTGATCATGGCGACCCTCCATGTTTAGCTCTTACAGCATGCAGGGCATGTGCACTAGTAACACACACACGGGTTTGGTGGGATAAGGTGATCATGGCGACCCTCCATGTTTAGCTCTTACAGCAAGCAGGGCGTGTGCACTAGTAACACACACACAGGTTTGGTGGGATGAGGTGATCATGGCGACCCTCCATGTTTAGCTCTTACAGCATGCAGGGCATGTGCACTAGTAACACACACAGGGGTTTGGTGGGATGAGGTGATCATGGTGACCCTCCATGTTTAGCTCTTACAGCATGCAGGGTGTGTGCCCTAGTAACACACACAGGGGTTTGGTGGGATGAGGTGATCATGGCAACCCTCCATGTTTAGCTCTTACAGCATGCAGGGCATGTGCACTAGTAACACACACACAGGTTTGGTGGGATGAGGTGATCATGGCAACCCTCTATGTTTAGCTCTTACAGCATGCAGGATGTGTGCACTAGTAACACACACAGGGGTTTGGTGGGATGAGGTGATCATGGCGACCCTCCATGTTTAGCTCTTACAGCATGCAGGGCATGTGCACTAGTAACACACACACGGGTTTGGTGGAATGAGGTGATCATGGCGACCCTCCATGTTTAGCTCTTACAGCATGCAGGGCATGTGCACTAGTAACACACACACGGGTTTGGTGGGATAAGGTGATCATGGCGACCCTCCATGTTTAGCTCTTACAGCAAGCAGGGCGTGTGCACTAGTAACACACACACAGGTTTGGTGGGATGAGGTGATCATGGCGACCCTCCATGTTTAGCTCTTACAGCATGCAGGGCATGTGCACTAGTAACACACACAGGGGTTTGGTGGGATGAGGTGATCATGGTGACCCTCCATGTTTAGCTCTTACAGCATGCAGGGTGTGTGCCCTAGTAACACACACAGGGGTTTGGTGGGAGAAAGGGGCAGCCCTGAAATATGAATCTGCATACAGCCAGCTAGACTTGACCAAAGAGCTCACAGTTAAGAATATGTTTACTATCACTTATATGTGGATTGGATGATGACAAACATCTGACATTATATGGCCAGCAGCCATCCACACAGGACAAAGATAGTGTGTCATGGAATGTTCTTGACATCAGAGGGGTATCTAATGATATTTGTACAGGAGTTTCCTTCTAAACACTCTAGCGCAAAGCTATTCAAACTGGCGGCCTGAAGACTGAATCTGGCCCGCAGAGGGCTAGTCAGTGGCCTGGGGGTAATTGCCAGCTGTGTTGTATTTGTGATCCTTATATGCTGGGGCCAGGCCCCTGACCCAGGATGATCCCCATTGTCAACACTTGTGGCCCCTGGGTAAACTTAGTTGAATAGCCCTGCTGTAGAGAGACTGGGCCCAGTTGACTCATCACTCTGCTCACCTTCTCCTGTGGTATTCTAAGTGTTAACAGATAAATTGCACCTCTCTCTTAAAAAATGTTTGACATTGAAACTTTATGGAAATAAGATGCACAGTTGACTAAGTTACAAGATAGGACAGAATAATTTGGTGTGAAATGTCTGTGTTCTATAGGCTGACCAGCTGTTGAGGGACCTGGAGGACAGGAGAGATTTGTCCCACACCATTGTTCATGTGGATATGGATGCCTTTTATGCAGCTGTAGAGATGCGAGATGATCCAAGCTTGAGGGATAAACCCATGGCAGTAGGCAGCATGAGTATGCTGGTAGGTTAGTTGCTGGAGAATGTCAGTGCTGGGTGTTGTCTGAGCTCTTTCTGTTGATGACTTTGCATGCAGAACTATTTATACATTGGGTATAATGTCTTGCATTACAGATGTCTGTCAGAAACATTACAGATTGTCTATAAAGCCTTGTGTTAGAGATATTTGCTAAATACTTTACAAATTATATTTAAAGGCTTGCACTAAAGAGATCTGCCAAAACCCTTAAAAATTGTGTATAAAGACCTACACTAAAGAGATTTGTCAAAACCTTTACAAATTGTGTATAATGGTTTGCATTAAAGAGATCTGTTAAAACCCTTACAAATTGTGTATAATGGTTTGCATTAAAGAGATCTGTTAAAACCCTTACAAATTGTGTATAATGGTTTGCATTAAATAGATCTGTTAAAACCCTTACAAATTGTGTATAAAGACCTACACTAAAGATAAAGAGATCTGTCAAACCCTTACAAATTGTGTATAAAACTTGGATTAGAGAGATCTGCCTGACCCTTACACTTTGTGTATTAAGACTTGCATTAGAAAGATCTGCCTGACCCTTACACTTTGTGTATTAAGACTTGCATTAGAGAGATCTGCCAGACGTTTACACTTTGTGAATTAAGACTTGCATTAGAGAGATCTGCCTGACCCTTACACTTTGTGTATTAAGACTTGCATTAGAGAGATCTGCCAGACGCTTACACTTTGTGAATTAAGACTTGCATTAGAGAGATCTGCCTGACCCTTACACTTTGTGTATTAAGACTTGCATTAGAGAGATCTGCCTGACTCTTACGCTTTGTGTATTAAGACTTGCATTAGAGAGATCTGCTAGACCCTTACACTTTGTGTATTAAGACTTATATTAGAGAGATCTGCCAGACGCTTACACTTTGTGTATTAAGACTTGCATTAGAGAGATCTGCTAGACCTTTACACTTTGTGTATTAAGACTTGCATTAGAGAGATCTGCCAGACCCTTACACTTTGTGTATTAAGACTTGCATTAGAGAGATCTGCCAGATACTTACACTTTGTGTATTAAGACTTGCATAAGAGAGATCTGCCAGACCCTTACACTTTGTGTATTAAGACTTGCATTAGAGAGATCTGCCTGACCCTTACACTTTGTGTATTAAGACTTGCATTAGAAAGATCTGCCTGACCCTTACACGTTGTGTATTAAGACTTGCATTAGAAAGATCTGCCAGACGCTTACACTTTGTGTATTAAGACTTGCATTAGAAAGATCTGCCAGACATTTCACTTTGTGTATTAAGACTTGCATTAGAAAGATCTGCCAGACGCTTACACTTTGTGTATTAAGACTTGCATTAATAAGATCTGCCTGACCCTTACACTTTGTGTATTAAGACTTGCATTAGAAAGATCTGCCAGACGCTTACACTTTGTGAATTAAGACTTGAATTAGAGAGATCTGCCAGATACTTACACTTTGTGAATTAAGACTTGCATTAGAGAGATCTGCCTGACCCTTACACTTTGTGTATTAAGACTTGCATTAGAGAGATCTGCCTGACCCTTACACTTTGTGTATTAAGACTTGCATTAGAGAGATCTGCTAGACCCTTACACTTTGTGTATTAAGACTTACATTAGAGAGATCTGCCAGATGCTTACACTTTGTGTATTAAGACTTGCATTAGAGAGATCTGCTAGACCTTTACACTTTGTGTATTAAGACGCATTAGAGAGATCTGCCAGACCCTTACACTTTGTGAATTAAGACTTGCATTAGAGAGATCTGCCAGACGCTTACACTTTGTGAATTAAGACTTGCATTAGAGAGATCTGCCTGACCCTTACACTTTGTGTATTAAGACTTGCATTAGAGAGATCTGCCTGACCCTTACGCTTTGTGTATTAAGACTTGCATTAGAGAGATCTGCTAGACCCTTACACTTTGTGTATTAAGACTTATATTAGAGAGATCTGCCAGACGCTTACACTTTGTGTATTAAGACTTGCATTAGAGAGATCTGCTAGACCTTTACACTTTGTGTATTAAGACTTGCATTAGAGAGATCTGCCAGACCCTTACACTTTGTGTATTAAGACTTGCATTAGAGAGATCTGCCAGATGCTTACACTTTGTGTATTAAGACTTGCATTAGAGAGATCTGCCAGACCCTTACACTTTGTGTATTAAGACTTGCATTAGAAAGATCTGCCTGACCCTTACACTTTGTGTATTAAGACTTGCATTAGAAAGATCTGCCTGACCCTTACACGTTGTGTATTAAGACTTGCATTAGAAAGATCTGCCAGACGCTTACACTTTGTGTATTAAGACTTGCATTAGAAAGATCTGCCAGACATTTCACTTTGTGTATTAAGACTTGCATTAGAAAGATCTGCCAGACGCTTCACTTTGTGTATTAAGACTTGCATTAGAAAAGATCTGCCAGACCCTTACACTTTGTGTATTAAGACTTGCATTAGAAAGATCTGCCAGACGCTTACACTTTGTGAATTAAGACTTGCATTAGAAAGATCTGCCAGACGCTTACACTTTGTGAATTACTTGACACTTTGAGAATTAAGATACTTACACTTTGTGAATTAAGACTTGCATTAGAGAGATCTGCCAGATGCTTACACTTTGTGTATTAAGACTTGCATTAGAGAGATCTGCCAGACGCTTACACTTTGTGAATTAAGACTTGCATTAGAGAGATCTGCCTGACCCTTACACTTTGTGTATTAAGACTTGCATTAGAGAGATCTGCCAGACGCTTACACTTTGTGTATTAAGACTTGCATTAGAGACATCTGCCAGACCCTTACACTTTGTGTATTAAGACTTGCATTAGAAAGATCTGCCAGACCCTTACACTTTGTGTATTAAGACTTGCATTAGAGAGATCTGCCTGACCCTTACACTTTGTGTATTAAGACTTGCATTAGAAAGATCTGCCTGACCCTTACACTTTGTGTATTAAGACTTGCATTAGAGAGATCTGCCAGACCCTTACACTTTGTGTATTAAGACTTGCATTAGAGAGATCTGCCTGACCCTTACACTTTGTGTATTAGGACTTGCATTAGAAAGATCTGCCTGACCCTTACACTTTGTGTATTAAGACTTGCATTAGAGAGATCTGCCAGACCCTTACACTTTGTGTATTAAGACTTGCATTAGAGAGATCTGTCAGACGCTTACACTTTGTGTATTAAGCCTTGCATTAGAAAGATCTGCCAGACGCTTACAAACTTGCAGGTTGAGAGATCTACAGACCTGCTGGAGGAAACCTGTTGAGGACACATCTGAGAGGTTGTTAAAGGCCCACTTCATCTGACTAGGTTGTGGAGATAGAACTGCATTGTAATGAAAATGTGTTTTTGTTTCAATATTGTTTGTTTTTGTTTATAACTTTGGAAATGCTTACACTTTTTATTGACTGTATATACCACAACAGATGTGCAGATCAAATGTGTTGGTGATGTTGTTGCTGTAGTCTCACATTTTTTGTACAGTGTAGTCTTGCTAGCATTTACATGGCCAGATTAATTCCTGATAGCTTTTATGTGTGACAGGGTCAGCTATGGATATAGAGGATCGAACTCTGGATTGCTGTCTTGGTAAGCCAGTTAACTAACCATTGCAGAATATTTAGCCTGACTGCCATGTATATATCTTAGAGGTGAATGTTTTCTCTGTTTCAGAGCACGTCTAATTACTTAGCTCGGCGGTTTGGCATCAGGGCAGCCATGCCAGGTTTTATTGCACGTAAGCTTTGTCCAGAACTGGTCATTGTCCCTTTGAACTTTGACAAGTACATTGCAGTCAGCGAGACAGTCAAAGAGATCCTGGCATTGTATGATCCAAACTTTTCAGCCATGAGCTTGGACGAGGCATATCTAGATTTGACTGAACATTTGCGGGAAAGAATTCAGGCTCCAGTTTCAAGCAGGATGTTTCTTTTGCGGACCAAGGATTGCAGCACAGCATGTAGGTGTGATCTCAACATGGTGCTGAGGCCTCTCCTGTTGCAGGAAGTAGACCTGTCGCAGATGCAGGCTGCAGAAAGTGAAATAGATGTGAACCAGTTGTTTTCTCACTGTATTGAAACTGAGCATTTGAAAACATGTTCAGTTTGTGGGAGGCCGTTTCCTTCGTTCACACTGAAAGTTTATGGAGTCAGCGCAAAAGATGCTGTGCTAGAGATGCGAAACAGAATTGAACAGAGGACACATCTTACTGCCAGTGCAGGTATGTCGTTTGTTTTAATAGCCTCCTTACCTCATAGGCACACACACATACACAACATATTAAAGGCTGATCTTGTCTCTCCTCAACATCTGTATCTATATAAAATGTCACCTGATGTCATTGCTGTGATATCTGACAGGCTTGTCATCATTGTTCAGTGTGTCACCTGATGTCATTGCTGTGATATCTGACAGGCTTGTCATCATTGTTCAGTGTGTCACCTGATGTCATTGCTGTGATATCTGACAGGCTTGTCATCATTATTCAGTGTGTCACCTGATGTCATTGCTGTGATATCTGACAGGCTTGTCATCATTGTTCAGTGTGTCACCTGATGTCATTGCTGTGATATCTGACAGGCTTGTCATCATTATTCAGTGTGTCACCTGATGTCATTGCTGTGATATCTGACAGGCTTGTCATCATTGTTCAGTGTGTCACCTGATGTCATTGCTGTGATATCTGACAGGCTTGTCATCATTATTCAGAATGTCACCTGATGTCATTGCTGTGATATCTGACAGGCTTGTCATCATTGTTCAGTGTGTCACCTGATGTCATTACTGTGATATCTGACAGGCTTGTCATCATTATTCAGAATGTCACCTGATGTCATTACTGTGATATATGACAGGCTTGTCATCATTATTCAGAATGTCACCTGATGTCATTGCTGTTATATATGACAGGCTTGTCATTATTGTTCAGTGTGTCACCTGATGTCTTCTGATACCTGCTGATTGAGTCACCACACAAAGACAAGCCAGACTCCAGCTGACTCCAGCAGTAGGGTTTGCATTTTATGGTTCTTAGAGAAGATGGACATCAATGCATGGCAAGTGTTTGAATTGTGTTCTTCGTTGGAGACAGGCACTGCTCACACAGTCATATCAATTGAGATTTAGTTTTTTTGGAAATCAGATGATGTCAGTGTATGATTACCCTGGTATTTGATGTACTGGAAACACACCAGATATTGTGCTAGGTTCTGCAGTCCACAAATGACGGTGCTGTCACAGACTGTATCACCAGGCTATGTGCTAGCATCATTACAATAGGTCACAATTGGCAGGGTTCAATATTTGTTTGTGGAAGACAATTTCTACCTCACTACATTTGGCTATGGTGTTAATCAGCTTTGTCAAATAGTTGTGAATAATTTCACAAGGAGAAGTGTTGGGAAAGAGCACCTGTCCATTAACCAAATCTTTGAAAATTGTGACCTATGGTGTCACATGTAGGCAGACAATATTGTGAATGTATGTGTGTTAGCATGCACTGTTGTATCTGTTAGGGTGGACTGTTATAACTGCTTCTGCTGTATGAACCAAGACATTAGGAGTGAATAGTGGAAGCTGCAGAGACAAGATTTGCACATCTCTTGGAGCAACCAACAACTGTGACTAGAAGATGGTAATGATAGTAGGATACCCGTACAGGTGGCTGTAAGAAAGTGGCAGATGGTGTTCTGTGGTCATGTGCTGAGGTCAGAGGTCAGTCTGTAACAATAACGATGTAGGTTTGTGAAGAGACATGAACTTCAGTGCCATCTGGTAAGGCTCATGATGGTAATAATATGTTCTGTTGCATCATTGTTTTAGGCATTGCAGCAAACACCATGCTGGCCAAGATTTGTTCTGACAAGAACAAGCCAAACGGGCAGTTCCAGATAGAACCAATCAGAGAACATGTGCAGCAGTTCATCTCAGCTCTTCCTGTGCGAAAAGTAAGTCTCAGTCATATTCCAGTTAAAGTTTTTCACAATTTTCCACACTTTCTGGCTATTGGGTATATAGGGCTATTTTATGGATAAGTCGGCACCCTGTGGGTGATATGACCAGCATCGCACCATCCACCTTTACTTCCCAGCACATTACCTGGTAAGCATTTAAGGCTGGGTCTACCTGTGAGCCAAGATAATTTTTGCAAAAAGTCTGGCGACCTTTGGACCCACAGACGACCGTATAACCAGTGATAAATCTTTAAAAAAAAATATTTAGCTCATCAAGATTTAAAATGATTGTTACTACAGTCTCCCAGAGAAACAATGCTTGAACTGTTTGGGAAGGAGAGATGGCCAAGAAGGGAGCTATTAATTTCCTAAGGGTTATCTCTTTGCCATTTCATTGGAACTGTTGATTTATCCTTTTTGAATGATGATGACCAATGTTTTGTTCTAGAGATTTGGCTACTGCTGCAAGTATTAATCTCTTGCTTGGTAGTAATGAGGAACTTATATCTATATAGTCCTGAAATAAAAAGGAGTAACTCAGCAAACCTTTGTATGCGATCACAACAGTCCAGGGAGAGGGGGGGGGGAGGATTGAGTCGGTTATTTACCTAAGTTTTCATAAATATGTTATCCTGCAGTGTATCTTGTATAATTTGCTTCCTAGATTCCAGGTATTGGAAAGGTCACGGAGAAACTTCTAGAAGCCCTAGGTGTGATCACCTGCCAAGATTTACACACACAGAGGGCAGTGCTTTACCGTGTGTTTTCACCCACATCCTTCCATCACTTCATGAACATTGCCTTGGGGATTGGATCTTCAGTCATAGAAAGGTCAGAACTTTGTTTGTGCTGCAATCACCAAACTCAAATGTTGTTATTTGCTTCATTCCCTCTGAAAGAAGACAGCTACTTCTGTTTTGGTCCTTTAATGACCAGCTGGGGACACAAGAAACATCAGCAGCCCAGAGATTCAGCAGACTGCAACTGCTCAAGTCTGAACCTCAGCAAACACAATGAAAACACATGAAACTTTACTGTATCAACACACACACACATTTGTATCAAGGACCATTAGACAGATGATGCAGAACATGAAAACTGTTGATCATGGGTATCACCCAACAATTCTCAGTATGCAGTGGATCAAGAAGAAGACTTCTGCATTCTGTTTAACCTGAACATTGAGCACAATCTGCATTTGATCAGCAGCATCATGTTTTAGAAACCAGAATACTTTGCCACAATCTAGACATCCCAGCAAGCTGTCATGATGTTAACTTATTCCATGACAATGATTCAAGAGCTATAATTATTCTATGTTATGTTGTTGTTCGTCTACCAAGAGTGATAAACCACTTTTCATCCAAAGTAGTAATGTTCAGTGATTATGAGTACGAAGGTGGCCAATTAGTCCAATATGAGCTCGGAAAGTTCTTGAGCACTGTGAACAACAGATGGAAGCCACAGTAAGTGTTGGATTAGTAATATGGTTCTTTCTAGTCTGCCTCCGTTTCTCTGCCTGTGCAACCTCCCCTGCCTGGCAGGCTGATGCACCGTGCCTGAGGGATGTGCGCCATCCAGAACGGTCTTGTGCAGCAGCCTCCCATGTCACTGTGTTGATGCTAATAGAAATGGGAGCAGTTTTGAGTGTCTTTGTAGCGCTTTTATGTCCTCCCTGGGACCTCTTCCCTTGCTGCAGCTCCCCATAGAATACTCTCTCCAGGAGGCAATATTCTGGCTTGGTGACCAACCCAGCTGATAATTCTTCAGTATCGTGTGGATGCTAAGCAGGTTTGCCCTATCAAGAACCACAGTATGTGGTATCTTATCTTCCCATTTGATTTTGAGCAGCTTTCTGAGAAAATTTATATGAAACTGATTCAGTTTTTTAGCATGGCACCGATACACAGTCCAAGTTTCTCAAGCCTAGAGCAGTACTGGAAGAATTAGTTTTGTAGACATTCAGTTTGGTCAGCAGGGAGATACCACTTCTGTTCCAGAAGTGGTATAAAGTCTGCAGAAACTGCTACTGGCCTTTGAGATTCTAGCATTGATCTCATCATTAATGTTGATTTTCTGAGATGGGGTACTACTGCCAAGCTAAGTGAATCTGTTGACTACAGTTAGCCTTTGATCATTTATGGTGATTTTGGGATTACAGTATTTTTTTTCTGGCCGCTGGTTGATAGACAACAACAGTTTTATCAGTGTTGATAGTTAGCCTAAAGTTGGTACAGGCTTCAGAGAATCTCTTGCTGTTGTGCTGCATACTGACCTCAAAGCTGGCATTTAGAGCACTGTCATCAGCAAATAAAAGGCCATTCAAGACAGGAAAAGGGTCCGACAGTTTCCCCTTCTCCAGCACTCTGGCCTGCATACCTTCATGGAACTGCTGTACAATCCTAAAAAACTTCTGAGGACAGCCACATTTTGCCGTGATTTTCCACAGTCCTCCTCTACTGACTGTATCAAAGGTCTTTGTGAGGTCTATGAAGGTAGAATAGAGGTCCCAGTTCTTGGCACTTTTCCTGGAGCTGGCCAGCAGCAATAATTAAGTCAGTGGTCTCTCGCTCTTTATTAATTTACATTGAGAATTTATTGTTTCTAAATGGTAGTTGTGTATATGGTGTATTTAATTGTTTATTTTTCTTGTCCTATAAATGTATTCCTGCTTTTCTTCTGGGAAAAAGGGGAAATTCTTAAAGGGGGAGGGGGGATACATGTGGGTGTGGAAATTAGCCAGGGGATGAGTCTTTACTGAGGGTTCTGATAGAAACAACATTCTATGAAAGACCTGTTGCATGATGACCATGCTGGCTGTCAGTCCTTGAGCACCACGTGTCCTTGGGTCAGCAGTTAGTTACTGTTGACTGTCCAATCAGTTCCCTTCACATCTGTCAGTCAGGTGCAGTGAACTTGATGTTATTCTGTCCAGTGAGTCAGATTCTATGTTCAGGTCTTTCTTGATAGTTTCAATGCTATAATTGTTTGTTTTATTTTCTGGTCACAAAGAGATGCTGAGAGGAAAAGCATCAGCACCGAACATACTTTTGGAGAGCTTGCACAGCCAAAGGACTTGTTGAACAAGTGTCAGGAGTTGTGCCAGCTTCTGTCTAGGGACCTGAAGAAAGACAGATTTGTGGTAACTGCCTTTGTCCTTGTGTCTGCTGTATGTGAGTGATAGATGACAGGTTTGAGGTAACTGTCTCTTTCCTTGTATGTGAGTGGTAGATGACAGGTTTGAGGTAACTGTCTCTTTCCTTGTGTCTGTTGTATGTGAGTGATAGATGACAGGTTTGTGGTAACTGTCTTTCCTTGTGTCTGTTGTATGTGAGTGATAGATGACAGATTTGTGGTAACTGTCTTTCCTTGTGTCTGTTGTATGTGAGTGATAGATGACAGATTTGAGGTAACTGTCTCTTTCCTTGTGTCTGTTGTATGTGAGTGATAGATGACAGGTTTGTGGTAACTGTCTTTCCTTGTGTCTGTTGTATGTGAGTGATAGATGACAGATTTGTGGTAACTGTCTTTCCTTGTGTCTGTTGTATGTGAGTGATAGATGACAGATTTGTGGTAACTGTCTTACCTTGTGTCTCTTGTATGTGTCTGCTAGATGACAGATTTGTGGTAACTGTCTTTGGCCTTGTGTTTGTTATATGTGAGTGCTATATATCCAGAATCAACCAATCCAGTTCTGCCTTCACAATGAAACTTAGTCACAAAGGATCTGCAGTACTTTATGTCTCCTAGTCTGTTATTTTTTTATCCATCTGGAGATAATCATTCTATTGTTTTGTTCTTTACCTCTTGCTCGACTACTAGATGTACATGACCAACATCCTGTTTACATATACACTGTATGATAACATAACATAACATAACCCTTGACCCGTTAGGGTCGTGGAGGTGTATCAGTGGAAGCCCACCATCTTTCTCTGTCTTCTGCTTGATGAGTAAGTCTATGATAACTTAGTCCTGTCCATTTCTTCATGTTGTCATACTAGTTCTTCTTTGCCTTCTTCTTCTACAACTACTCCTCCAATCCAAAGATCAGTGGACCGAGAAGAAATATGGACCGGCCAGTATCTAAACTTTTACAGTTTTGTACCTATTCAGTACAAACGTGGCGTAGTTAGAAGCTTGTTCAACCGGGCTAGAAAGATTTGCACCGAAGACACACTGGCTGCAGAAATTAAAAATCTCAATTCAACTGTACTGCTGAATGGGTACCCCATAGGTTTCATCAAACGGCATTGCACCCCACCCAACCCTACTCCAACCGAAATTACAGTATCCAAAGATGAGTATATATCCAGCTTACTTATCAAGGTGATGTCGTCATGCAGCGTCTGCAGGACCCACTGAAAACAGCAGTTGGCCAAACATTCTTTGCAGCTGTTCCAGTAGTGAGGTACAAGACCACTCCTATCCCAACCCCACCTATTAAACAGCTTGTTTCTCCCTACACCAAATCTAATTGTATTTACCAATTTACATGTAAGTGTCAGTTGACTTACATCGGTCGAACGGAGAGACAGCTTGGAAATAGAGTGGCTGAGCACATACCCAAATGGCTACATACACAGCTGAGTGATTCTTCTATAGTGTCGAGACCAGTCAAGAGGAAAGAACTGGCTTTTTCCATAGGACGTCATCTACTTAATTCCGGACACATAATTGACACAGACAGTGCTTTCTGTGTGGTAAACCACACTTCGAACAGGAGACTTTTGAGAATCGCAGAAGCCATCACAATAAAAATCAACAACCCCCTCCTTTGTAAGCAGACAGAATTTATCGTAAATTTGAAGTTACCCTGGTAAGTCATGTGACAACGGTGAACTTCCGGGGGCCATGAAACACATACAGTGTATCGGAAGAAACTGTTCGCATTTTAGTTGGATTTATTCAGTTTTGTGCTCTATTTTATGTTGATGTAACTCTGTAGTAACGCACCTGATGAGATACAGCGAAATATGCCTGGCAATAAATTCTGCAATGTATTGTCTGACATATTTGTTAGTTTTGGGTTCTAAATAACTAATTCATAAAATGTGTATAGCATTTACATTCGAAAGCCTGAATCCTCTTTTCCATTTCCACAGTTAGAGTCCAACTCTCACATCTGTGTAAGAAAATAGTACCAGTGATTTGTAAATATTGATCTTAACTGTGATGCTGATTTTGCTCTTCCACATCGTACTCAGCTAGGACATCACGGCTGTTGCTATTTTAAGCCTTGTCTTGATCTCTTTGGTACAGCTGCCATCGTAACTTGTGTGCCAGCCGAGACATTTAAAGATTTCAACTTCTTCTAGTTTTTTCCCTTTTATCTGTTTGTTGATAAGTACTTGATTATTGTGGCTATTTACCAGAATCGTGATTTGCTCTGCATTAATTTCCATGCCATATTTACCACAGACTGTCTCTAATGTTATAATAAGTTCTTGGAGTTTGTGATGACCCTGTTTTGCATAGTCTCCAGGCTCACAGAGAGCCAAGCGGAAAATCCTTGCGACAAACAACTGCACAAGAGTCTAGGGGACCAGTTGAGTAGATGTGGGCAGTCCCGAGTTAGACTCGTGGACAGTTGGTTACCAGAAGTCGTAGAAGACAGTTGTGTTAATAGAAGATGTAGTTTCAATGTCTTGAGGATGATTAGTGGCTGTCTGAATAATTGTTGGAACAGTGTGGAAGAATGTGATCGAATAAACTGACAGAAATGTATAAAGGAACTGAGAGCCGTTTGTTTTATCAATCCTAGACGTTAGAGCAGTGCAAGTAGCTATGTTGCAGTAATCATATTAAACCGAATCGTGGTGAAAGCAGATACGTCGCAGAGTTCTGCTTTGGAACCAGCCTTGAAATCAGTGTTGTCTCCAGAATGTAAATTACACAGATGTCTTCCAGCAATAGATATGGATGTTTTGTGATTTTCTAGTGTTCCTCTCATGATGTGTTCCAAAAACAGATTGAAAAGTACATAAAATAAATAGTATGGAACCACATCTCACTCCCACTTTATGATAGCCAATTCTAGAGACAAAATCTGATTAGTAGAACTATTCATGCTTTTTTGTGTGTGTTTTATTATTTCACAGGGAAAGACTGTAACACTGAAGATCAAAACTGTCAGCTTTGAGGTCAAGACTCGAGCTCACACTCTTAGCCACTATTCCAGTGATGAGAAAGCTATCTTTACCGCAGCCAGGCATCTGTTGGAGATAGAGATAGAAAATGTGCAACCTGAATGCCTTTGCTTGAGGCTGATGGGTACGTTTTACACAATTGACTTCTTCGTTTAGTCAGGCTGGTTTCATTAGGAGAGAGAATACATCTCGTTGCACACAAATCTCTGTGATGTCTTTCCATGTTTCCTGTCAGGAGGATCAGGATTAGTGCACACGATTACTTGCATCGGCAAGCATCCACATTTGATGTTTAGTTATGTGCTTTATAGTTACAGGAGTTTATGCCTTCTTTGACTTGTTTAGAAATAAAGCTTGCATACCCCAAGAGTAAACACATAATAATTTAGAGTTAACTAATTTCTAGTTTTCTCTTTTCTACTCTTTGCCTGTGCCTTATGCACATGGAATATATTGATTCATTGGGGGAGGGAGGGTGTGTGCATGCACGCGTTTCTGTTGAAAAAAAAAGTTAGTTGCGTATCCTTTTAAAGGACGCTGCAGAACCAACCCCAGCATTTTTTGACTGTTGTGGTTTTTCTAGACAAATATACATCCTATAGTTTGCCATTTCTTTCTGGATGGTCGGCTTCTCGATACCACTGTCAAAACCAGCGCAAGCCCCACAGCTGGGATTGAACTCGACATCCCGGCATTACAAAGTGCAATTGCAACGCCTAAGCCAAAGATATATATATATATATATATATATATATATATATATATATATATATATATATATATATATATATATATATATATATATATATATATATATATATATATGGAGTGAGAGAGAGAGAGCGAACGAACGAAGGAACTTTATTTTTAAAGGGTCACAAATTGGGCACACAGGCCCGTCTTAGATTCGGCCCTTCCAAACACCCGTCTTTCACACTGCAGCTGTATTTTATCAATAAGCATATAATATTTATATTAGAATATCAAAAAAGAGGAGAAAAAAAAAAGAGAGAGAGAGAGATCTTTTGGGAGAAAATGGTGCTTGACTGATTAGTTGATATTAGTATTCAGCTGGTGTTCCCACAGTTAGTAGAATAATCAGGCCAGATTTCTAATCTGAAGTCTGCCACACACACAGCAAGAACTGCAAAGATCAAGGAGGGAAGAACCCTGGATAAATCACTGTAGAGTGACCACTCTGCTAGGCGGACCTTTATTTCAGGAAGTTGCCAGGTTTTACAGAGATGAGAGGCCGTCTGCTGGACAGTCAACCTGCTGGCCACATATCTGCACATGTGGGTGCTCACAGATACTCAGTGAATGGCTTTTTGCCTGTGACCATTCAATCATAGCACCAGTAGCAGTGAAACTACAAGCACATATAAACTCCACTCATCATACGACAACTATGATATGAAGATCAATGGAGACAAAACCAAAGTGATGGCATTCTCCAGAAAAAGGAAGAACCACCAATATCAATATTGATGACCATCAGTTAAAGCTGGCGAAGGGCGTTACTCATGACGGGAGGATTTTTTCAGCAGACACAAGAACTAATAGAGAAGTTCAACAAAGATGCAGTAAAGCCAATCAAGTTATAAGCCAGATGGAACCAATTTTCAAATGTGAGCATGTGAATATTAACACTAAAATAGCACTGCTCAGCACAGTATTCTTACCAATGTTATGCTATCAGTGTCAGACATGGACACTGTCTTCAGAAGACAGAAGAAAACTATTCATGACAGACATGAAATGTTTATATACTGTGCTGTGTGTAACTAGGAAAGAACATTGATATCAGCAGTAGAGTCGTCATGCAACCAGTACTTAACTTTATCGGTAGATAACAGATCAAGTATTTTGGAGAAGTAACAAGATTGGCATCAAACAGGGCACCAAAGAGAACAGTGTTATACAGATAACAGTGGTAACAAAGCCAGAGGTTGACCATGCAGAAGTTACACTGTAGAAATATGTGACACTAAAAAGTACAATATACAAAGTGAACATAAGGACTGTTCCAGAGATCTTGTCTTCCCCTCATGCTGCGAGGCATTTAACCCTACCAGACCTGAGGCCCTGAACCTAACTGTCCCTATAACCTGAGCTCCTGGGCGCTAACATGAAAAAAACCAACATGATGTACAAAAAAAAAATTAGTTACGTGCAAACAAGTGGTTAGAAAAAGATAAAGCTTGGAGACATTGTAGAAAATATGTTTACCTTTCATCTAGCGCCAATCTTCCACCTTTGTGTGCTAATCCACCTAGTAGGATCAGTCTTGTTTCACAAAGTGAGCACCAGATGTTGCTGTTTGAGGGATACGCCCCCTTCTCTTACTATCGATCTAGTTTTAAATCTATAATGTTCATAATTCTCCTCCTCACTGTAGCTCTCACTGAGTGTGTCACTTCATCTGGGAACGCATTCTTCATGAACGTATTCACAGTCTGAATTAACCAAAGTATCGATCACTTGTTGGACTGTGAAAAGCCTAGACCTACGTCACTTTCTTTTTGAGAATGTGTGTGCGTCTGCGCGCGTGTGTCTGTGTAAGTGTTTGTGCATCTGTGAGTATATTTTTATGTGTGTGTGTGTGTATCTGTGTCTGTCTGTGGCTGTGAGTGACTGTGTGTGTTGCTTTGTGTGTATCTGTGTGTGTCTCTATCGATGTATCTATTATACAATGTCTTCTTGTCTCTGTTTGTGTCGGTTTATGCATCTGCCTGTATGTCTGTGTGCGTATGTGTGCGTGTGTGACTGTATGCGTGCCTGTGTGTGTATCTGTGTGTTTCCCTGCCTGCGTGTGAGTATGTGTTTGTGTGTGTGACTGTGCATGCGTGTGTGTCTGTGTGGGTGTATGTCTGTGTGCGTCAGTGTGTGTGTTTGTATGGGTCTTTTTGTGCGGCTGCGTGTGTGTGTATGAGTGTGTTTGTGTGGGTTTATGTCTGTGTGCGTCGGACGTGTGTGTTTGTATAGGTCTTTTTGTGCGGCTACGTGTGTGTTTGTATGTGTGTGTGTGTATCTGTGTCTGGGTTGTATGCATGTGTGTTTTAGAGCGCATGTCTGTGTGGGTGACTGTGTATGTATGTATGTATGTATGTATGTATGTATGTATGTATGTATGTATGTATGTATGTATGTATGTATGTATGTATGTATGTATGTATGTATGTATTAGTTAGTTAGTTAGTTAGTTAGTTGGGTTATCATCATTGCACTCCGGACATGTCCATAGGTGCTCAGATCCTCCCCTCAGTATGAATCCCAACGTCCGATGGCTAATAGTACCAGTTCTATGTTGATTAACAAGTCTTCTGACGTGTCCGGTGTGCGTCTCGTTTTTTGCTGTGCCGATCTTAATTCCCAAGTCTGCCATTCTGGCGAGTGATGTGGATTCACTGCCACCAAAGTCCTCTATCCTTCCCATTTCTCTGAGGGCATTGATAATATCAGCATGATCCATAGGCCGACCATTGGTAGTGATAGCGGATCCAGCCAACCTGTCAGCTCTTTCATTTCCATCGACGCCTGCGTATCCCGGAACAAAAATAAAGGTGACTCCTCGCACAGTGGACTTCTGAATTGATTCAAGCCATTGTCTTCGCATAACATGTCCGAACAAACATTGGCTGTCTACGTCCAATATCTCTAACCACTGGCTGTCTATGTCCAATATCTCTAACCACTGGCTGTCTATGTCCAATGTCTCTAACCACTGGCTGTCTACGTCCAATATCTCTAACCACTGGCTGTCTATGTCCAATGTCTCTAACCACTGGCTGTCTACGTCCAATGTCTCTAACCACTGGCTGTCTACGTCCAATGTCTCTAACCACTGGCTGTCTACGTCCAATGTCTCTAACCACTGGCTGTCTACGTCCAATGTCTCTAACCACTGGCTGTCTACGTCCAATATCTCTAACCACTGGCTGTCTACGTCCAATGTCTCTAACCACTGGCTGTCTACGTCCAATGTCTCTAACCACTGGCTGTCTACGTCCAATGTCTCTAACCACTGGCTGTCTACGTCCAATATCTCTAACCACTGGCTGTCTACATCCAATATCTCTAACCACTGGCTGTCTACATCCAATATCTCTAACCACTGGCTGTCTACGTCCAATGTCTCTAACCACTGGCTGTCTACGTCCAATATCTCTAACCACTGGCTGTCTACGTCCAATGTCTCTAACCACTGGCTGTCTACATCCAATATCTCTAACCACTGGCTGTCTACGTCCAATATCTCTAACCACTGGCTGTCTACGTCCAATGTCTATAACGACTGGCTGTCTACGTCCAATATCTCTAACCACTGGCTGTCTATGTCCAATATCTCTAACCACTGGCTGTCTACGTCCAATATCTCTAACCACTGGCTGTGTACGTCTAATATCTCTAACCACTGGCTGTCTACATCCAATATCTCTAACCACTGGCTGTCTACGTCCAATATCTCTAACCACTGGCTGTCTAGGTACAATATCTCTAACCACTGGCTGTCTACATCCAATATCTCTAACCGCTGTACATCTTAGATGTAGTATGTGATGTAGCATTGATGCAGACACTGATTACATTTTTTGTGCCTGATTTCTATCACAGGTGTCAGGATGTCCAAGCTGGTCTCTGAAACAAACTGCTCCTCATCTGTTGCCAGCTTTTTTGAGAAGCAAAGAAGAAATAATTCCACTGGGAAAAATGTTGCTTGTTTATCTGGCAAGGACACTGAAGATGAGAGCAGAGATGTGACTGCTGCTGCCAGCTATTTGTCTTCCTCTGTGGCAGCACTCAGAGACAGCTGTTTCCCGCAGCAGGACTACGGTGGTGATGATGATGATGACACAGATTTCCAGGAGTGTATTGACAATATAAAAGTTGCAGAAATGCCACATGAAAACAGGGCCAGAACAGGTAGCAAGGCAGTTAACAACAGGGCAACACAGCCTCATCAACTGAGTCATGACATGGAGAAACAAGACACAATTGTGCACTTTCTGTGTAGCAAACTAAATTGTCCAAGGCTAGGAGAAAGTAATTGTACTTGTGATCAGTGCATGGTAAGAAGATCACACGCCACTGGTTCCCTCGGAGATATCAACAGTGAAAATACAGCACCTTCAGGGAACAGCAGTGTTTGTCAGGCCTCTGTGATAGTCTGCAGTGTTAGCAGGCCATCCGTAGACATTGACAGTGTTAACAAAACATCTAAGGGATGTGTAAACAGTACATTAAATTTAACCCAAACTGTTAGCAAGTCATCTTTGAGTGGTGTTTCAGATTTAAATGCAGCATTGAGGTGTTCAGATTTGTCAGCTGTGAGATCTCAAATATCATCAGCGAACAGTTCTGGTCAGCACAACCAGCTGCCTGCATCATCATCATCATGTCCCGGTGGAGGACAGCGGTCCCAGGCGCTAGGTAGTCAGACACCAGAGTCATCACATTCAAGTGGCATGATACATTGTCCAGTTTGTGGTCAGCAGAAATATCAGTGGCCACTGGACCAGCTCAATGTCCATATAGACTTGTGTTTGAGTAGGTCTACTGTCCGAGAGATTCTCACAGACCAGCAAGAGGATCAGCAGGGACCAGTTCCACGCAAGCGGTAAAACAATCTTTATCTTTTTTTAAAAAATTGATTTTGGTCATGTTGTCTCATCCCATCTCATCTCATCTCGATCCTCTGGTGTCCAGGTGAAGTATAGTTTACGGGGAAAAGCTTGTTTGTGCACTTTGTAAATAGGCATTCCCAGTGACTCTGGTATACTCTATCCATATTTTCTATGGCCAGCCTCTTCTACACTTCCCACCTGGTCTGTACATCCTTGCTTGCTGTGGTATACTGTCTGCTGAGATCCACGTTATATGGCCAAACCATTTCACCTGTTGTCTTCTAATGAAATCCAGAGCTACCCCCCATTGTCCATCAGATTTCATCTTTCCTGATCTTTTATCTTATTTTTATACTAAGAGCCCTTCATAGAAATCTAATTTCTGTTGTAATTGTTTTTTTTTCTCTGTTTCTGTCATAGTCCAGGTCTGACATTGGTAACACATGGTTGGCAAGAAGGTTATGTCATAGTTGTTTCTGTCATAGTCCAGGTCTGACATTGGTAGCACATGGTTGGCAAGGAGATTGTGTCATAGTCCAGGTCTGACATTGGTAGCACATGGTTGGCAAGAAGATTGTGTCATAGTTGTTTCTGTTACAGTCCAGGTCTGACATTGGTAACACATGGTTGGCAAGAAGGTTATGTCATAGTTGTTTCTGTCACAGTCCAGGTCTGACATTGGTAACACATGGTTGGCAAGAAGGTTCTGTCATAGTCCAGATCTCACATTGGTAACACATGGTTGGCAAGAAGGTTCTGTCATAGTTGTTTCTGTCACAGTCCAGGTCTGACATTGGTAACACATGGTTGGCAAGAAGGTTCTGTCATAGTTGTTTCTGTCATAGTCCAGGTCTGACATTGGTAGCACATGGTTGGCAAGAAGGATCTGTCATAGTCCAGGTCTCACATTGGTAACACATGGTTGGCAAGAAGGTTCTGTCATAGTCCAGGTCTGATATTGGTAGCACATGGTTGGCAAGGAGATTGTGTCATAGTCCAGGTCTGACATTGGTAGCACATGGTTGGCAAGAAGATTGTGTCATAGTCCAGGTCTGACTTTGGTAACACATGGTTAGCAAGAAGGTTCTGTCATAGTTGTTTCTGTCACAGTCCAGGTCTGACATTGGTAACACATGGTTGGCAAGAAGGTTCTGTCATAGTTGTTTCTGTCACAGTCCAGGTCTGACATTGGTAGCACATGGTTGGCAAGAAGGTTCTGTCATAGTCCAGGTCTGACATTGGTAACACATGGTTGGCAAGAAGGTTCTGTCATAGTTGTTTCTGTCATAGTCCAGGTCTGACATTGGTAGCACATTGTTGGCAAGGAGATTGTGTCATAGTCCAGGTCTGACATTGGTAGCACATGGTTGGCAAGACGATTGTGTCATAGTCCAGGTCTGACATTGGTAGCACATGGTTGGCAAGGAGATTGTGTCATAGTCCAGGTCTGACATTGGTAGCACATGGTTGGCAAGAAGATTGTGTCCTAGTTCAGGTCTGACATTGGTAGCACATGGTTGGCAAGAAGATTGTGTCATAGTCCAGGTCTGACCTTGGTAACACATGGTTGGCAAGGAGATTGTGTCATAGTCCAGGTCTGACATTGGTAGCACATGGTTGGCAAGAAGGTTCTGTCATAGTTGTTTCTGTCACAGTCCAGGTCTGACATTGGTAACACATGGTTGGCAAGAAGGTTCTGTCATAGTTGTTTCTGTCACAGTCCAGGTCTGACATTGGTAGCACATGGTTGGCAAGAAGGTTCTGTCATAGTTGTTTCTGTCACAGTCCAGGTCTGACATTGGTAACACATAGTTGGCAAGAAGGTTCTGTCATAGTCCAGGTCTGACATTGGTAACACATTGTTGGCAAGAAGGTTCTGTCATAGTTGTTTCTGTCATAGTCCAGGTCTGACATTGGTAGCACATTGTTGGCAAGGAGATTGTGTCATAGTCCAGGTCTCACATTGGTAGCACAGGTTGGCAAGAAGATTGTGTCATAGTCCAGGTCTGACATTGGTAGCACATGGTTGGCAAGGAGATTGTGTCATAGTCCAGGTCTTACATTGGTAGCACATGGTTGGCAAGGAGATTGTGTCATAGTCCAGGTCTGACATTGGTAGCACATGGTTGGCAAGAAGATTGTGTCATAGTCCAGGTCTGACATTGGTAGCAAATGGTTGGCAAGAAGGTTGTGTCATAGTCCAGGTCTGACATTGGTAGCACATGGTTGGCAAGAAGATTGTGTCATAGTCCAGGTCTGACATTGGTAGCACATGGTTGGCAAGAAGATTGTGTCATAGTCCAGGTCTGACATTGGTAGCACATGGTTGGCAAGAAGGTTGTGTCATAGTCCAGGTCTGACATTGGTAGCACATGGTTGGCAAGAAGGTTGTGTCATAGTCCAGGTCTGACATTGGTAGCACATGGTTGGCAAGAAAATTGTGTCATAGTCCAGGTCTGACATTGGTAGCACATGGTTGGCAAGAAGATTGTGTCATAGTCCAGGTCTGACATTGGTAGCACATGGTTGGCAAGAAGATTGTGTCATAGTCCAGGTCTGACATTGGTAGCACATGGTTGGCAAGGAGATTGTGTCATAGTCCAGGTCTGACATTGGTAGCACATGGTTGGCAAGGAGATTGTGTCATAGTCCAGGTCTGACATTGGTAGCACATGGTTGGCAAGAAGATTGTGTCATAGTCCAGGTCTGACATTGGTAGCACATGGTTGGCAAGGAGATTGTGTCATAGTCCAGGTCTGACATTGGTAGCACATGGTTGGCAAGGAGATTGTGTCATAGTCCAGGTCTGACATTGGTAGCACATGGTTGGCAAGAAGATTGTGTCATAGTGTTCTTTTGATTTCTAATGATACATATTTGTTTCTTAGTATTTGTGCCATTTACCCAATGAATTGGTATGCTCTGTTACACCTGTCATTGATTTCATCGTCTTTTTTCGGCTGATGATATTATATTGGAAGTTTTTTGTTGTTGTGGTTTCATAGGGTGTTGTTTAAGAAGGATATTTATTATTTAGTTCACTTTGGGTATGGTCACGATCTGTATTGTCTGTCTGTCAGTAGAACATTGACATGAATGATGTTTAGATTGATGATCACATCACTTGAACAGGAGGATTAAGTGTATTCAGTAAATATGTAGTGTTGTCCAGTTGCATAAGACTATTTGGTTTTATTGGATTCTCTGTGTGCTGTGTAATTTTCATTCACTCAATCTGGACTCTGTCATGTCATCTTATTCTATGTTTGTGTCCACAGGTCAAGAACAGCCCAAGTGACAAAGTCTGATAAACGCGTCAAGACTCAGCATACTTTGTTGTCCTTCTTCAAGCCTTGACGTGTCCAGCTGTCAGTCATTGTCGCTTGTTTACAAGGCAGAAATATGCGATCAGCAGTGTCGTTTGGCATGACACATCTGGCAGCAGGCACTTAAGCATATCACCATTTTCCAGAATGTGGTGTTTGTGTCCTGAGATGATTGCCAATTGTGAGAGCTTCCACCCAGTTGGAATTTGATTCAAACTGTTGGCCAGGTCATACAACTGCTTGCAGAGATGAGAAAGCCAGTGCTTTAGTTTCATTAGCACCTGTTTGTTAGGTCATACAGCTGTATGCACAGATGAGAAAGCCGGTGCTCTAGTTTCATTAGCACCTGTTTGTTAGGTCATACAGCTGTATGCACAGATGAGAAAGCCAGTGCTCTAGTTTCATTAGCACCTGTTTGTGGGACACTGAAGTATGGACATATTGCAGGCAGTCAAGGATAACTCTGCATGAAGAGACATCTCTTTATGGATCTTGGCTGAGGCTGTTGGAGAGTGGATTAAACAGGGAGCTGGTTACGCTGCTTGTAGGCAAAGGCTTTGCTGAGATGTAGCTGACCAGCTGGCAACAGGGAGTCAGCATCCACACCCTTCAGCTTCTTCTGGGAGCCACTAAGCACTTATAGGCTTCCCTTGACTGCAGTGACATGATTTCTTTTTGATAAGTTATATCTGTACTCTGATATAACAGCCACTCATGGCTCTCTCTGTCAGGGTCAGTATGCATCTCAGTCCCAATCCTTGACTGCAGCCAACCAAACATGTATGACTGATATCATTGATGGATGCAAACTGAAGTCTCATTAATGGAACAAATGCAGTGGGTTGACTACTAGAGTACCCAACAGGCACAGAAACAGCATAAAGCTCTGTTGTCCATGTGTACAGTGCCGGTGGTGGGTGAGGGAGCGGTGTGACTGCAGTCCATAGGTAACTTGCCATTGAAAGGTCATGGGACACTGGATTGCCACAGTCAAACATTACAGCGTGTAGATACGCTCAAAACGACTATGCTATAGACATAATCATTTGCATGCTCATTGGTAACTGTAGGAGAGAATGAGCATCTCTGTGTGTGTGCTAGTGTTCAAGGAAGTTTGCTTTTAGAATGGGTCATTGTATTGCGGTAAGAGTGTTGTCAGTGGCTGCTATATTCACACTGTGATTTGTGTGCTTTTTGTTTAGTTTTGGTTTTTAGTCTTGTGCAACACTTCCACACTTCCTTCACTGCTGCCTCTGAATCTTATATTAGGACTAGATTATAAATGTTTATTATGTGTTTCATTTTGGATTATGTTTTTGTTGATGTTGATTGCTGTTTGTGAACATGTGAGTGGCTTCATTTTAAATGTTTTAGTGAATAAATGTTGGATTATTAGCTGTATTTGATGCAGAAATCAACTTTAAAAGTGTGGTATCAAAAAATTGCAGGCTGCACCAAGTAGTACACACAGCAGACTGCACCAAGTAGTACACACTGCAGGCTGCACCAAGTAGTACACACAGTAGACTGCACTAAGTAGTACACACAGGGAGCTGCACCAAGTAGTACACACTGCAGACTGCACCAAGTAGTACACACTGCTGGCTGCACCAAGTGGTACACACTGCAGGCTGCACCAAGTAGTACACACTGCAGGCTGCACCAAGTAGTACACACTGCAGGCTGCACCAAGTAGTACACACTGCAGGCTGCACCAAGTAGTACACACTGCAGGCTGCACCAAGTAGTACACACTGCAGGCTGCACCAAGTAGTACACACTGCAGGCTGCACCAAGTAGTACACACTGCAGGCCTTTGCTAACCCACGAGGTGGCTTCTAGGCAATGATTAAAATCATGATGTTAAAATGTTACAAATCTTTTACAAGATGTTGCAAAACCAACACTAGCATTTTAGGCTGTTGTTGCTGTTGCAGGTTTTCTAGGCAAATTTACGCTGTGTAGTTTGCCATTGCTTTGTGAATGGTCGGCTCTCGATACCACTGTCGAAACTGACAGTTCGCCTGCAACTGGGATTGAACCCGGCACTCCAGCAATTTAGAGTGCATTCACAACACCTAAGCCACAGACACCAATGTCATAATATTGCAGCCAGTGATATCTGAGGTGCCATAATTATCACTTGTGTTAGACTTTGTTGAAGTTGTGATCATCTGTTGTTGTAAATTGAAAAAAAAAAAAAAGTTAATGCAGTGATTTACAAGCTTCTTGATTTAAAAATCTACTGACCCAGTGAGTTAAACTCCATAAATTGACAGAACTTACTGACTTAAATGATTTAAAGATTTATTGATTCACAGTCGTATTCACCTAGTGACTTATAGATTCATTGATTCACAGTTGTATTCACCAAGTGATTTATAGATTGATTGATTCACAGTCATATTCCCCATGTGATTTATAGATAAATTAATTCATAGTCCTTCTTACCTAGTGATTTATAGATTAATTGATTCACAGTTGTATTCACCTAGTGATTTTATACATTAATTGATTCACAGTCCTTCTCTCCTGTTGATTTAGAGATTTAACAATTCACAGTACTTCTCTTTTATTGATTTATAGATTCAGTAAATCACAAAACTTCTCTCCTATTGATTTATAGGTTTATTAATTGACAGTTCTTCTCTCCTATTGATTTGTAGTTGAAGTAATTCACAGTACTTCTCTTCTATTGATTTACAGATTTATTAATTCATAGTACTTCTCTCCTATTGATTTGTAGTTTAAGTAATTCACAGTACTTCTCTCCTATTGATATGTAGATTCGTAATTCACAGTACTTCTCTCCTATAGATTCATTAATTCAGAGTACTTCTCTCTTGGTGGTTTATAGATTCACTGATTGACAAACCTACTGATTTATGGATGGACACAGCCATGGTTGCACTGATTTAGAGATCCACTGACAAATATGCCACTTACTACCTGGTGCGTTGAGCCCACTGATTTCTCCTGATGGGCAGCATCCATGGCCTGTTGAAGCATCCATGGCCTGTTGAAGCATCCATGGCCTGTTGAAGCCAGTGACTTTAAGATCCCTGATTGTGTTGATCCAGGTGGATCTGACACTGGCCAAGAGTTTGAGGTGGCTGTGTTTGCCGTGGCCTATCTCTAGGTTGTCTCGGCAGCGTGGTGATCTAGCGTTGTGAGGACCAACATGTCACTCCACAAACGTGACGCTCCAGTACATGATGTGCACACCTGGTCACTCCACAAACGTGACGCTCCAGTACATGATGTGCACACCCTTATGGTGTCCGAGCTGAAGAAAAGAGAGCTGACAACAGCCCTGTGGAAATGTTGTGTGTTTTCAGTGTCTATCTACAGGCTTCAGGCAACCTGCATGCCTTCACGCTAGAGGTTTAGTTACATGCACATTCTTCCCAAGGGTTGCCAAACATATCCACAGACACTGACTTCAAGGTTAATGTGTGCAAGTGTCATTTCCAAGCATGTATCCAAGGAGCCATTATTAATGAAGGGGTGTTGATAACTGTCCACTATAAATGAAGGGGTGTTGATAACTGTCCACTATAAATGAAGGGGTGTTGATAACTGTCCACTATAAATGATGGGGTGTTGATAACTGTCCACTATAAATGATGGGGTGTTAATAACAGTCCACTATAAATGATAGGGTGTTGATAACTGTCCACTATAAATGAAGGGGTGTTGATAACTGTCCACTATAAATGATGGGGTGTTGATAACTGTCCACTATAAATGATGGGGTGTTGATAGCTGTCCACTATAAATGATGGGGTGTTGATAACTGTCCACTATAAATAAAGGGGTGTTGATAACTGTCCACTATAAATGAAGGGGTGTTGATAGCTGTCCACTATAAATGATGGGGTGTTGATAACTGTCCACTATAAATGAAGGGGTGTTGATAACTGTCCACTATAAATGATGGGGTGTTGATAACTGTCCACTATAAATGATGGGGTGTTGATAACTGTCCACTATAAATGATGGGGTGTTGATAACTGTCCACTAGAAATGATGGGGTGTTGATAACTGTCCACTATAAATGAAGGGGTGTTGATAACTGTCCACTATAAATGAAGGGGTGTTGATAGCTGTCCACTATAAATGATGGGGTGTTGATAACTGTCCACTATGAATGATGGGGTGTTGATAACTGTCCACTATAAATGATGGGGTGTTGATAACTGTCCACTATAAATGATGGGGTGTTGATAACTGTTCACTATAAATGATGGGGTGTTGATAACTGTCCACTATAAATGATGGGGTGTTGATAACTGTCCACTATAAATGAAGGGGTGTTGATAACTGTCCACTATAAATGAAGGGGTGTTGATAACTGTCCACTATAAATGATGGGGTGTTGATAACTGTCCACTATAATGAAGGGGTGTTGATAACTGTCCACTATAAATGATGGGGTGTTGATAACTGTCCACTATAAATGATGGGGTGTTGATAACTGTCCACTATAAATGATGGGGTGTTGATAACTGTCCACTATAAATGATGGGGTGTTGATAACTGTCCACTATAAATGATGGGGTGTTGATAACTGTCCACTATAAATGATGGGGTGTTGATAACTGTCCACTATTAATGAAGGGGTGTTGATAACTGTCCACTATAAATGAAGGGGTGTTGATAACTGTCCACTATAAAAGGAGGGGGGATGATAACTGTCCACTATAAATGAAGGGGTGTTGATAACTGTCCACTATAATGAAGGGGTGTTGATAACTGTCCACTATAAATGATGGGGTGTTGATAACTGTCCACTATAAATGATGGGGTGTTGATAACTGTCCACTATAATGAAGGGGTGTTGATAACTGTCCACTATAATGAAGGGGTGTTGATAACTGTCCACTATAAATGATGGGGTGTTGATAGCTGTCCACTATAAATGATGGGGTGTTGATAACTGTCCACTATAATAAAGGGGTGTTGATAACTGTCCACTATAAATGAAGGGGTGTTGATAACTGTCCACTAAATGATGGGGTGTTGATAACT